AGTGCTTTACTCCCCTCTAAAAGCACTCCTCCTCTTAAACTCCCAACTTCAGTTCCTGGCACAGCTCCGCATTTCTAGCTGCACAAACTGGGCATAGTGCCTCTTTCCTCTTCCCGAGCCCAGTTTTACTCAAAAAGCCTTGTCCTTTTTACTTCCTATCTCTTTAGACTATGACCCTGTTTTAACCCAGTGGCCTCTATGTGCGTTGGGACTTCCCTGCTTTTTAATTGGTCGTAGCCTCCACCTGGCCTTCCTGCTCCAGTCCAGGCCTCCTGTCACCACCATCAGTGATCTTCCTGCTGAAGCTTTCTGTGGTGTCTTAGTATTAAAGAGGAAAGGAAATAAATGAACTGATACTAAGCTTAAGAAACTAGAAGAGAAAATAAGGGGAATTGCAGGACTGAAAAAAACATAGCCAGAATAAATGAATTAGAGCAACAGTGAAATTGATCAATAGATCCAAGAGCTGCGTCTTCAAACAAAGAATAAGATAGATCAATCTGAGAAGGCCAGCATGTAAATAGGGAGCAGATGCAACTGTCTGTAATGAATGAGGGGGATATGTGCACCACTGGAGAAGCCATTAGAATTAAAAGACAACTGCATAGAAATCTCTGCTAATAGGTTAAAAATATGAAGCAATAGAGAAATATTCAAAATATTCCAAAGAAAGAAAATGATGTAGAAGAAAACAATGAGATTCTGTAATGTGTTTTAAGAATATTTCTGCAGTAATCACAATTCAGTTACTTGTATGACCTGAACAATGAGGAAAACAGACATTTCCTAATTTCATGGAAATCTATATCATTTAAATACAGCTAGGTTATTATTAGAAGATAGTTGACTCCATAGTGAATTAAATATTTTTAAATTAAAGAACAAATTTAACCTCCTAGGCCAGACAACTCTAGTTACAACTAGAACAAACTATTTTCCTATCACAGACCTTACCAAACCACCAAAAACACTGATGCCAGAATCCGATTAAGTTGGGGAGTGGAGGAAGGAAAGAAAGCTGTTAACATGGTTATAAAAATCCTAAGTAAAATATTAGTAGACTAAAGCCAGCAAATAAAAGAATAATCTGCCTTGATCAATTAGTTTATTCTAGAAGTACAAAAGAACTTTCCGCTTTGATCACTTGATAGATCAGAGGAGAAAAATCATATGATTAGCATAGAGAAATATCCAAAAAAACCCCGATAAATTTCAGTCACCTTTCCGGATTTAAAATTTTTGGTGAAGCAGAGAATTCTTCCTTTATATGGTAAAATATATCAATCTCAAAATAGCTACATAGAGCAGCTTCCCCCTGGATGTTTAAAAATGTTAAAAAGTATTATTGTCAGAAGTTGAGGAAATTCTGGGTCATCAAATGACGTGTTAATGTCAAGAATAATCTGGCGTGCCTTTTATCACTGGTGTTGTTGAGCACTTTGGGGAGGTTTTATCCAGTACAATAAGATGCTACATGAGTATAAATATTAAAAAGACTTTGATATAATTATGTGTAGTTGATATAGTGATCCACTGTAAGACATTAATAGAGCAGTTAAAAGTTCAATAATGTGGAGGTATAATATTCACCTCTAGTCAATTAAGAAGATGAAAGATTGACAGCATGCTGTATCTCTGCCTGGACCGCTCTCCCAGTCCTGCCAGTCTCCCATGGACCTTCACCTGTCAAATCCTTAACTTTGTTCAGATCTGCCTTCACTCTCAAGCTCTGGGAGTTGATGATGGACAAGGAAGCCTGGCCTGCTGCAGTCCATGGGGTCGCAAAGAGTCAGACACGACTGAGTGACTTTCACATAAATCATCTCAAAGATTTTTTGTAAAAAAGAAGTCTAGAAATAGATCCCTGGACAAGGAAATGGCAACCCACTCCAGTATTCTTGCCTAGAGAATTCTGTGGACAGGGGAGCCTGGTGGGCTGCCGTCTATGGGGTGGCATAGAGTCGGAGATGACTGAAGCGACTTAGCATGCATGATGCATTGGAGAAGGAAATGGCAACCCACTCCAGTGTCTTGCCTGGAGAATCCCAGGCACAGAGGAGCCTGGTGGGCCGCTGTCTATGGGGTCACACAGAGTCGGACATGACTAAAGCGACTTAGCAGCAGCACTGGTCTAGAAATAGATCCCAGTGTCTACATGTCTTATAAAGGTGGCATTCAAATTGATAATTTCATAAGTGACCCTGAAGCAACTGGCTAACCATTTGGAAAATACATAATTAGAAATTATTCCCTATATCTTAGGCCAGAATAAATCATATGACTTACAAATTAGCAAAGGACATATGCAATTTGGACTTCCCTCGTGGTCCAGTGGTACAGAACCAACCTATGAACGTAGGAGGTGTGGGTTCAATTCCTGGGTTAGGAAGATTCCCTGGAGAAGGAAATGGCAACCCACTCCAGTATTCTTGCTTGGGAAATCCTGTGGATTTCGTACCTGGTGGGCTACAATCCATGGGATTGCAAAGAGTCAGACATGACTTAGTGACTAAACAGTAACAGCAATAAAAGCAATTTATAAAGAGCTACAAATGGTCAATAAATCAAAAGGTTAATCTTACAAGTACTGTGTTCAGATTGGGAAAGATAAAAAGAATGGCAGTACTCTTAAGTAGAGAGAGTGATGTTATACACTGCAAACGGGAATGAAATTACTTTTAAGTATTGGGATGGAAATGGAGCAATATAATGGAAAGTGTTAAAATTTTTGCCTTAGCAATTACACATGTTATACTTTTAATTGCCCAGTAAATTAAATTTGCAAAAAATATAGCCCAAGGATACTCACTGAAACAGTATCTATATTAAGGAAATAAGAAAGGACATCTTAAATATTCAATGTGAGGAGCGTGGTTAAATTCTATGCAATGGAATGCTGTATAGCTGTTTTAAATTATATAGATGTTTATTTGTTGAAACTGAAAAGAATTCTGCAAAGTGGAGGGATTGTTAGAATACACCCAATGTCTATGCAGTGCTTTAGCACAGTGTTCAGTGGGTGGTAAGTTCTCAAATTGTACCTTTTTTAAAAGGTAGGAAAGATAGGTTATAAATTAATGCATACTCAACTACTGATAAACAAGCATTACTGCTTCTTCATTCTTGTCAGACTGAAGTCTTTCTCTGGGTCCATTACTTAGCCTAGTCTGACCACTTACCTTTTAAACTCATACTGTTTTATTTTCCAGCAGCCCCCTCCTAGCTAGGGTTGTCAGTCCACTGCCCCTTTGCGTTTGCTTGCCATTGTGTTTTTGTATACCACTCCTCCTGCCTGGAATACTCCTCCCCTTTCTGCACCCCAATCTGAACCCATCCATCCTTGAAACCCCGCTGTGATTTGTGAGACTTCACATTCCAGCTTTAGTCTCCACTCCCCACCAGGGCTCGTGTGAGATTTCAGCTAAATTGGGTCCTGTGGTTCCTTGAACATGACTGCTGAATTAGAGCACATTTTAAAAAATAATTTATTGAAGCAAAATTCACATAACAAAATATTAACCATTCTCTAGTGAACAAGTTCAGTGGTATTTAGTACATTCACTGGTTAGTGCAGTTACCCTAAGACATTTCCCATAATTCCAAAGTAAATTCCCATGTCATTCCCCTCCAAGGTGCAGTCTGTGTCTGTGGATTTGCCTATTCTGGGTATTTCGTATAAATGGGATCATACACTATGTGACCTTTTGGGTCTAGTTCCTTTCACTTAGGTTTTGCTTTGGAGTTTCTTACATGTTGTAATATGTATCAGGACTTCATTCATTTTTAAGGCTGAATGATATTCCATTGTATGTATATATCACAGCTTGTTTATCCATTATCTGTTGATGGGCATTTGGGCTGTTCCCACCTTTTGGTTATTGTAAATGGTGTTGCTGTGAACATGTGCATATGTGTACTTGTTTGAATCCCACTAGTCAGTTCTTTGGGGTATGCACCTAGGAGTGGAGTAGTGGGACTAGATGGTAATTCTGTTTAACTTTTTGAGGAACCACCCAACTTTACAGTGATCACACCTTTTTACATCCCCATCAACATTGCACAAGGGTTCAGTTTCTCTCTCTTTGTCAGCACTTGTGATTTCCCATTTAAAAAAATTATAGCCATCCTAGTGGGTGTGCCATGGTACCTCACTGATTTGTATTCACTGATTGCTAATGATGGAGAGCATCTTTTCATGTACCCACTGGTTGTATATCTTTGGAGAGTTGCCAATTCAAGTCCTTTGCTCATTTTTAAATAGGATTGTCCTTTTTTGTTGAATTTTACAGATCTTTTATATATTCTAGATACTAGACCCTTAGTACATATCTTTAAAAAAATTTTAAATTTATGTATTTAGTTTTTTTGTTGCTCTGAGTCTTCATTGCTACAGGTGGGCTTTCTCCGGTTGTGGTGAGTGGGGGCTCCTTTCTCGTTGTGACGTATGGGCTCTAGGGCATGGGCTTCGGTAGTTGCAGTACACAGGCTTAGTAGTTGTGGCTCCCAGGCTCAAGAGCGTGGGCTCAGTTGTGGCAAATGGGCTTAGTTGCCCTGTGGCATGTGGAATCTTTCTGGACCAGGGATAGAACCTCTCTTCCCTGCACTGGCAGGCAGATTCTTAACCACTGGACCACCGTGAAATTTCCTTAGCACGTATCTTTCAACATTAGGTCTTCTTGGCTGAACTTGGCTCTCCTCTTGGTGATTTTTTTTTTTTTTAACCTCTGGTAAATGCTGCCAAATAGTAGGTATCCCATGTTAGAATCTTAACCACTGTGTTTGTTGTTGTGAGGATAATCCTGATGTGTGTGTCAGATTCTTGGAAACTATAAAATGTTACCTAGTTGTAAAGATTTTGAAAGATGGGATGCTCCTTTTAATGTTTTCTATGCTTTTCATTTTTTTGGTTTTGTGGATTCTTCACATTGCAGTGCATAGTTAAGTGCTTAAAAGCCATAAATCTAAAGTGAGGAGAATAACAAGGACTGTTTGCTTTTCAGAGTCATCCTTTTTAAATTTCCATGACTCCGACTGTGAACCCAAAGGATCACCACCCTGTGACTCTCTGCTTTCCCTTAACACTGAAAAGATTCTGGTACGTATCTTTCGTGCCTCCTGTTTTGGAAACACAGTGATACTAGTTCCATAAGGCAAAGGTGGCCTCTGTTTATCAACCAGGACTTGAATCCAGTTGCATAAGATAAAGATAGGTCATCTTTTGTTTAGTCACACTTAATCATTATGTCTTATGACTTGGGTGGTTGGTCATTCTGGACCTGGGACTTTTTACCTTTAAGTTCCAAGGAATAAAAAATAAATAACTTTATTTCTAGGAGCCTTACGATTTGCAGGTGTAGTATGATCTTATTTTTCTAGGCTTTGCCTGTGTATCTTTTATGTCTGTTTTTTATCAGTACCAACCAAACTGTACAAGAGGCTCTCCGTCGCGGCGATGAGCACCTGGCACCGCGTGCCTGTCTGTGCTGATGTGTGCCCCTCCAGCCCGGCGGCCTCAGGGCTCAAGGGGTATTCGTTCACTCTTGGTTCTGGGCGGCTGTTCTCCCTTCAGTGCCCAAGGTTAACATTTTTCCTCCAGACCTTTTCCTTCAACATCCACATGGATTGCTTATTTTGCTTCAGAATTTCCCTTTAGTATACTCTTTGTTTTCCAGACAAAGCTCTGGAAAGAACTATGGAAGAACTACAGAATATGGGTAGAAATTGCAAATTAGTGAATGGTCAACTGATTATCCCTAACTCATTGCATAGCTGTCAACTTGATATAGGAAAAAACATGTCCAAAACTAGAGTGGGCTAACTTGTGAAGTAGTGAGTTAACCATCATTGAAGACATTTGAGTAGAAACTGGTTAATCCCCATCTTGGAGAAGTGATTAGATTATGAGTTATTAGGGACCTTCTTGCTGATTCAAATATTATTTACTAGTTGCATTTCCAGTTTAAGATGGCACTAGCTAGAAACCTATGGGAGAAAGCTTATTAATCTAGGCCTTTTATTTTCCCCAGGTTGAAAATATGGGAATTAAACTATTCATTTATTCGTTAATTTCTCAATATTTATTTTGTACCTATATATGCCATGCGTTGTGCTAAGTAAGTACTTAGCCAGAGAATGGTAAGCCAAATAGCCTTGGCCCCAGGACTTAGGGCTCCTGTAGCTACTAATCAAATAATTATACAAATAAACATAGAAATACAATTGTGCAAATCATATGAAGAAAAAATAAAGGCTCAGTATACCTGAAGATATCAAGGAAGTCAGACAAGACAGCTTTCAGGATTTGGAAGATAAGCAGGGACCTGAAAGGTAGATTAAAATTAACCTACTACAGTGTGGGGCTGTGTGTGTAAACTACTTTGATCATAGCTGCCCACTTTGTCCACAGAAGATATCTATAGGTGTGATATTAGAAGTGGGAGAGATTCTTTTTTGATCAGGAAAATAATTTGCCCATATTACACTTTTCCTGCCCACTTCTGTTATAGAATAAAATACAAACACTTTAAACTCAGATATGCTCTTCAGTATAAATATATATATATTTTTAATTCCGGTTCGCACAGTGCGCGCCCCATCACCGCTCCGCTGTGCACACTTCAGTATATCCAGGAGGTTGCTTGGTAAATGATTTACTTTCATGAGATTTCATTTCTGTTCTCATCCCATCTTTTTGCATGAAAGCTTGGCAAATGGTAGACCCTCATTAAATACTGGATGAAATAATAAGGCTTTTAAAGTATTAAAAAGCATTGTTTATAGACTGCTTTCCTTGACGCTACACAATTTATGTATTAGAGAAATGTTTTACGCCTGTGTGTCTGTCTGTCAGCAGCTGTGAGGAGGAAGGACTTGTGTCCGGGCGCACCTGGCCGCACATGCAGCACTGTGCTGCCCTCGCGCGGTGCTCAGCCTGTCGCTTCCAAAAGAAACGGAATCTGGTTCCCATGGATGGGAGCTCCCAACTGTAGAGCAAAGCCAGAGAGAGCTGACAGAGTTCCTCTCTAGCCATCAAGGTTTTACTGGAAGAGATAAAGTGTAAACATTCCCAAAGGAGTAGAGTTTTTTTTTTCATTTTGTTTGGGGTCCTGAATGGAATGAAGTCCTGAGTCCTCTGAGGTGGGATGCTTTTCTGACCTGTATCTTCTAACTTGTGTTCTAAGTAGAGGTAGCTTATTCTTGACCTGTTTTGTAGGCAAACCAAAAACCACTCTGTATCTGAACATCAGTCTGGACTTCAAGAGTATAGGGAAAATAGGTGGAAATGCCTGTTATTCTGTAGAGTCAGTGAAGCCCAAGAGACTACAGCTGATGAGAACCAATCATTAGCTAAAGAGCATACCCATCAGTCAGAAGAGTCACCCATGGGGAATTATTTGACTGTCATACCTGCCTGTAGGCATCGATATGATGGATTAAAAAAAAAAAAAAGGAATTCAAGTAATTGAGATGTTGCTGAGTTCTGATCCTGAAGTTTTGCCAAAAGCAACATCTTTAGTTTTATCCTAGCTTTTCCTGTCTGTCTGTGTGTTCAAGTTTTAATCATATCTTAGATGAATCTGGTATGAAGTTATTATTTTAATCTGTGTCCTGTAGGCCAAGCATATCATACCATAGCATCGATAGTAAAACCTTCTGACAAAGTGACGGCTGTTTGCATCGTCAGATATGATTTGTCTCCAAAGCACAACAGAGCCATCATTTTGTATGTTGGACCATTACTGCCTGTAAAATCACTCCACTTACTAAATTAACTCTACTTTGTTTTCCCCTAGTTTCCACTTTTACTTTAGCTCTTATGCCAAGTGTGCATATGTTGTGTCTGCGTGACTTCTACTGTGTCAGGCAGGATGGTTATGTTCGTTGCCTGCTATGCATTGTTTAAGTGTATCTTGCTTCTTGGTCAGATTTTACTGGCCCTATTATGGCATCATCCTTGTGCAACCTGTGTCTCTTACTTCTAAAGAGTTCTTTACAGTTTACAAAGCAGTGTTCTGTTGTCAAGCCACTTTGGAGACCAGTCACTAGAATGTGATCTTTGTAACGTGATCGATGTCATTGAATGGTCTGTGGAGGGAGCTTTGAAACAGCCAGGAAGAGGAATCCTCATGAAAGTAAAAAGATAGGTATTCCTGGAAATCGAAAACCACTCATGATAAGGGGAGGAAGCAAGTCGGTTACAGCACAAAATGTGTCTTAAAGTACATCATCGATATGACTGAATGTCAGTGTTTTCTTGCTTCCATATATATTAAATGTAACTTTAATTTTTTTAAATACAGGTTTCACTCTAAGTTTCTCTTCATTTGAGATAAGCTAAAATGTATGTTTGTCTTTATTTCAGAGCCAGGCCAAGTCTATTGCTGAACAAAAGAGATTCCCATTTGCTACTGATAATGACAGCACAAATGAAGAGTTAGGTGAGACTTGACTTGGGGACTTTTCTTGGGGCATTTGCCTAGAATTTATGATTAGATGCAGAGTGCGTAGGCAGGATGGTGAGGCAGAAAGGATACAGAGCCTGGCCCTGCCAGCATGAGCAGTTTGACCCTGGGTAGGTCATTCAGCCCTTGTGAGGATTTGGTATTTATTGTGTCATGAAAGGTCTGGATGGAATCAGTGTTTCTATGGAAATTAATAATTGTGGTATGAGTTATAACTATTAGCATCCATTAAAAGATTATTTGTGTGCTGTCATCAAATATGAACGATATAGAAGTGAAAGCAGAAGAGAGCCACACCTCCTTTAGTCTTCTGTGTCATAACATCGCTAGGTTTGATTAGTTTTACTCATGGGGCCAGTCAGTTATTGTTGGTCCAAACTCATGGGTGTAGAAAATTGAGTTCATTCTGATCTGAAAATGGGTCATGCTGTTTGGCTTGTTCAAGGCATGTCTTAAAACAGCCTGGTTTCGCCAGTGTCTGATATGCTTTGGGTGTGTCTCCATCATTGCTCAATCAGCTCGCACTTGAACGAGTGGAAACAAATTGAATATAGGAATGAAGAGTGCAGTTGGACAGATTTCACAGAAGGGTGTGCTCCTGGTAGCCCAAAGCACCTGAAGAAATTTTTCTCTGTCTGATTTACACATAATTAGTTTTATCCTTTCTGCTGCCATATCCATTTTATATTAAGGTTGAGCACTATTTTGAAAATACTAATCACCTTATATTTATATTCTTTGAGTAAGCTTTGAGAATTAATTATCCTTTAAGGCATCAGATTTGGTCTCCTTCGTAATCCTTGGATTCTATTCAGTCTTCTATTCATTTATTAAATAATGAATTAAGGGTGTAATATGTACCAGGCCTGTCCTATGCTCTTAAGAGTAATCCTAGTACATCCTGGGATAGTATAGGCTCTAAGCTGGTTTAGGATCTTCTGCATATCAGTATTTATTTTTTTTTTCTTGGAAAAATGACCTCTGTAAGCATACATGTTACAAGGAGATGTGGAATTGCTGGTTAATAACAATTTCTGGGAGATTCCATTTATCCTAGTTTTCTCTTTATGTCTTTGAACTCCCACAACCAAATTTAGATCCTAGTAGAAATTTTTTGTACAAGATTTAGATTACTTTTCAATGCATATATATGTGCTAGTCATGTCCAACTCTTGCGACCCCATGAGCTATAGCCCGCCGGGCTTCTCTGTCCATGGAATTCTACAGACAAGAATACTGGAGTGGATTGCCATTTCCTTCTCCAGGGGATCTTTCCAGCCCTGGGATCAAACCTGTTTCTCTTTACGTCTCCTGCATTGGCAGGCAGATTCTTTATCACTGCTCTACCTGGGGGTTTTCTCAAGAAAAATAAAATATATATATATACTTTTAGATGGAAAGATTTGAGAGCTGCATCTGATTTTATTTGAAAGGAGTTCAACACCTTGGCCATGAGTAACAATTTAAGCATGTTCCTAAGTGTGATATTTATCCCCTAAAGCTGTATTTGTTTTTATGGGTCACATTCATTTGTTCATTCAATAGATTATGAAAAGATAGAGAGGAAATTCTGAAATTTTTTGATCTGAAAGAATCTAAGAAAATTTTCTACAGGCTCGTTAAGCAAGACCCAGTGAGGACAATTTCCCCATGGTAACACAGCCAGTGAGTGACAGGGCCAGAGTCTGAGCCCAAACCCTGGCTTTCTAAAGCATCTTCCTGCATGCAAAAAAAAGTTTTCTGTTTCAGTCCCTGTTCATCCAGTCATCAAGGGATTCAAACCATTTTTCAGTACAGCCCAGTGCACAGTAGTTTCAGAGCAGCCTTGATTTTTCTCAGGGTAGCATGTTGGTTAGGATGGTGGTCCTGGAGCCATGCAGCCTGCTCCCCTTGTCTCACTGCATGTTGTCGTTCAGCAGTTTAAATGCTTCACTTCCTTGTCTGCCAATGAGGATGACAGTTGTACCTATCTCACTGCAATTAAGGAGCGTTGAGTTACAATATATGTAAATGGTTAGGATTGCGCCTGGCACCTATTAAGAATATAGTGCATGTTAGTATTACTGTTATTGTTATTTTTACTATTAATGCTCCTGATTCCCACCAAAGAGGTCTCTGGCTAGCCCATTATCTGCTACAGCTATCTGAATAGTATCCACTCCTGTTATTCTGAATATGAGTTTGACTTTAATTATCTTTTCAAAGAAATTAGGATGAAAGCAGACCTCTTTTCATGTTGAAGAATGCACCCCAGAGCTCTTGTATTATTATGATGCTCAGTGTTTTGAACTTTACTTTTCTGAGGTTAGTTATAAAATCTCTTTCTGCATTTAATGTATTTACTGCTTTTTACTGTCAGGGAATTTAAACTGAATGACATTAAAAGTTTCAGTTGCCCATCTTCTTGAACACTTATGTCCTTAAACTAGAGGGTCACAATAATGCTTTTTATTTTTTGCAAAGAAATAGATCAAATATTGAATTAAGGATATAATTTTTCAGAAATATTTGGGGCTCTAGGGAGTTAGGGCAAATATTGCAGATGGAAATATATTCTAGAATATTAAAATTTATTGGGGTTTTTTTTTGGACAGGTAAAGTTTAGTCAAAATACTGTCATGTTTTAACAGGTTGTCCTGACTCTAACTTCAAAATACCACTGACATAAGCAGTTTGATTAAAATATTTTGAGTAATGTTTAGACTATACTTTGAATAGAAGAACTAGGGAAAAGACTGTAACTGCATATTGCAGTGGTGTGAATTATACCTACAGTTAAGCATTATATTAATACTTATATATTGCTATAGTAATTGGAACCTCTCTTTTTGTTCTTAGTAGATAATTGGCAGTAAATTGAGCACCTGCATATATCGAGATACGTGATGCTCTTTGGGTATTTCTTCTATTGTTCATAGTAAAGTCACATTGCCATGTTATATGGATATTATGCAGGCTTATTACTAGATCTTTTGAAATATAGATTGGAAATACCATAAAGATTATTTGGTATTTGAAAGTGAGTGATGGGCTTAGACAAAGATAATTGCTTTTTGCAGGCAGATGTTTTATAGATGGCTTTAATAATTTAAATCTAGATAGAGCTAGACTGACTAGCAAATACCAAATGGTAGGAGAATTCAATTACATCATATTAACTCTAAGTTTCCTTTAACTGCTTCTAGTCCTTGGAGCTGCCTTTTAAGATTTGGTAAAGAATTTAGTTGCCTATTTCAGTCTGAGATCCTTTATTCATTTCTTTAATGTTTCTGTATTCTTTATCCTAGCTATTGCATATGTGTTGATTGGCAGTGGTCTCTATGATGAAGCAATAAGACATTTTTCAACAATGCTTCAGGTAATTTTTCTTCTTAATCATATAACTGCAAGTTTATAGTAATGACAAAAATATGGACTTATGTGTAACTAAAGTGCTGCAAAAAAACATAGATTTTAAGATTTTACAAGAAAGTAAAGGAAATCAGCCCTGACCAAGCCCCTTCTTGGTGGTGCAGGCCTCATAACGTGCTCTCATTTAATCTTTGCAGTGTTACTTTATTTTAAAGGACATCAGGCAATTTGCTTGAAATCTCCCCACCATCAGCAGGCAGAGATGAAATTCAAATGCAAGTTTCAGAAAGACGAATATTAGCTTCAGTTCATTTTCCTCTCTACCTTGATATCTCTCATGAGATACAGACACTGGAAATTCTTGGAATTACGGATATTTACTCTCTGTGCAGGTGCTGATCTGCATGGTTAGGTCCACTCATGGATTTGTTTCTCACCGTCTTTAAGACTCTTCAGCAGGAGCATTGGACCTCTGCTGACTGATGGCTGTGTTAAAGTCTGGTTCAGACCAAGTGCTTAAATACCTCAGTATAGTAAGAGCTGCATAGGAGACCTGTAAAATGCAGCCTGACATTATTGTCTGTATATCTTGGGTCATTATTTAACTGTGTTCTGGTAGATGCTTGGCTATTATCCATTATCTGTTCAGGACGGTCAAGTAAGGTTAGAAATACATGAGTTGTAATCTATCTCTGCTGCTCACTAGAAAGTTATTTAACCTCCTGGATAATGGACATAATAATAACTACCCCCAAAAATATTCTAGTTCAGTTTTAATGAAATATCTTAAAGAGTACTTTACTAGATGCCTGGCATATATAATATGTGCTGAGTTAATTTCAGCTACTCAAAGTACCATTCTGGCATATTCATCTGTGCTAATACAGTAAGAGTCAATAGATAGTTTACAGTTCAGCAGGCAGATTAAATTTTAAAACAAAAACATCATTTTTGAAGATTTTGTTCTTCTTTTCTCTTTTTAACTGTAGGATTAATTATGTTGACAACTTTGTCTTCACTCTCAAATAATCAATAAGATGTTTTAATAGTTATTACATTAAAGTCCTTGCATCTAAGCGCCTGTGTGTTTGAGTGGTCGTATGGGATAATATTCCTCAGTGGAGTTTAAAGTACAGTGGGTAGATTATAAAGTTTTAAAAATCATCCTTTTGTTTAGCATTGTAGTATTTTAAAAGGTAAGAAAGCACTGGTTTGAAAGGGGGACTTTGATACATTTATAAGAGCACATATCAGTTAATTTATGATAGCCTCCAGAAGACAACAGCATGAGCTTGCAGATGTATTATCAGTTCATTCAACTTTTTGAAAAATATTAATCTGTCTAGTTGAAGGCAGTATAGCAATGTTAAATAAAATACTTTAAGTAATAAAAAATTTCTTAATTCTGCCACTCTAACATTATTTTTTTGTTTATGACCTTTTCAAAGTATGCATTTGTTTTTATATAATCTGAATATATATACTATTTTGTATTACTTTTTCACTTAATTTTATAAATTTTCTCAGTGTTTCTCTACAGTTATTATTTTAATGACTCTGTGTCTGGTGTCCATTTATTACTGTAAAACTTCTCTTGCAGTTGTGTTCAGAAAGAGATCAGAATTTTTCTCTTTGTGCTAAGAAAAGATGTTAGTATACTGAAGTTCGATATGGTATTTTCATCAAATCTACATTGGGTTGCTTTCAGCTGATAGATTTTTCTTTGAGAATGTGTGGAGTATAAATTGGACTGCTGATTCTGATGATCCAAACTACTGATGGGGCAGGAATGGAAGTCAGGGGAGCAGCAGAAAGTTCAGATGCTCCAGGCCCATGGAAGACAGGCCTGGGTGGGTCATCGTTCATAGCACATCTTTACACAGAACTCAGTGCCCTTGGCTTTCCTGCTGGTGCTCTTCTTGGTGATGTCTCTCTTCCCTTTTGTTTTGGTTCTTCCCAGTCCTTTCTGCATCATAAGACATGTGGAAAATCATATTTTCATGACACTGGAATAATAAGTAGTAGCAAATTTAGAGGCATCCGGGTAGAGCTTGGTGAAAATCTGTCACATTTTCTTTATGTTATATGACTGTGATAAACATATAATACAAAGATTTGATAGTAAATGATAAAATTCTTTTTTAAATTTTAATGACTTGATCCTGATTTTCTGGATGTAGTTTTTCTATATTAGGCCGTATGTTTGAAACTGATGCACATAATTCCTACTAAAGAGTTTTTCATTGATTTCTTCAAATTCTTGATAGCCAGTCTCATCAAGGAACTGTACAACCAGGTGGGAGTGAATGTCCAAAGAACAGTTATTGGTACTTCTCTAATTGACCAAAACTCTTTTTCTTATCATGAATCTGAATTTACATGTCAGTCTCTTTAATTGTATTTTTACAGTATGACCATTCTTTAAATCTAAGTGCTCTTCCTTTTCTTTCTTTGGCAAATATAGCAATACTTTGTCTTGCAGTAATGAAATTGGTTTTCAGCCCAGCGGTCCTTTTTATTTTTATTGCCCAGTATTCAGAAGAGTATTTCTTCAAGCATGGAGAGTTGCCTCCTTAGGACTCAACCCAGCATCACTCGAGGGTCATTTCTGTTAATACATTGTGTCAACTATTAGATGTCCATCTGTTCCTTGCAGGACCTTCTACATGTGCAAAAACCCCGTATTTTTTTTGGCTGCGTCATGTTTTAGTTGCAGCATGTGGGATCTAGTTCCCTGACCAGGGACTGAACCCAGGTCCCCAATGTTGGGAGCACAGAGTCTTAGCCACTGGACCACCAGGGAAGTCCCCCAAATTCTATATTTTTAACCCAGTACCCAAACATACCTTAACAAATCTTCAGTGATAACTGTTCACAGACAAACTTTTCCAGTTTTTTTAGTTTGTTGTTGTTGTTGTTTAGTAGCCAAGTCTTGTCTGACTCTTTGCAAAACGATGGACTGTAGCCTGCCCACCTCCTCTGTCCATGGGATTTCCCAGGCAAGAATACCAGAGAATGCCATTTCCTTTTTAGCTCCTTAACTCTTGACAGAATGTTTCTCTTGGACAGCCTGCAAGCTCCAGTATGAAGCAACAATGCACGGAATCAGATTCCATTCATAGAAAACTGAAGACAAATGGGGCCATGGTGCTGGGATTTTATTGTATTTACCGTGTATATAAGATCATTTAATGTGAAATTTGGATCTATGCACGAGGATGCTTATATTCCAGAATGACCTTTTGATGTAAAGCTTTTATACCTTCTCTTTGGCTTAGTTGCAGTATTAGGGAACGAACTTATGGGGTATTTCCATAATCTTTGTTGTTTCAAGTGTTCACTTTAATATTTATCCAAATATGGATTGTTTGGCACATTTCTAAAGGAAGACAATATTCCCTGAGCATCACAGTTTCCAACTGAACACAATTTCAAGATACATTAGATCTGTCCATCTTCGCTGGGAACTCTTGATTTTAAAAGCTTATCAGTCGGTATTGTCTCCATGTCCATGTCTTTGTGTCCTTCCTACATGTGTTGGTGCCCCCATCATCGTGTTCTTGAAAGCAAGAAACTCTCCTGATTTCTGTGCTGCTTCGATGCTCATGCAGGGCTGAGTGACCTAAGTGCTGTGATGATGTTCAATGAGGCAGTTGACCTTTGCTATTAGTTGTGTGACTTTGAACTCATCTGATTCTGATCTGATTATAATGGAACTGAATTCATGAAGGAACTTCATTGGTTTTTTAACATTAGCAGACAAATGTAAAACATTCCTCTGCTCATGATCTTGTAGCCTTACTTTATGTGCATGCGTATGTGCACCTGCCGCTTACACAGAACTCAGTCCTCCTTGCATTGCTGTGCAGTGTTGTTTTTGACTTCTTTGTCTTTGATCCAGTGACTTGCAGGTTTTAACAAAAAGCCAACCTTGGGGTGGGAAAATGAATATTTGTAAATTTTAAAATCACTATGTAAATAATATAATGAAGATGGTAAATTAGACCTTTATGGGTTTAAAAAAATTTATTTTTTTGAGATTTGAGACATCTAAGTGGACCTGACTCCAGTAAGCTAACTATTTTATTATACCATGATTTTGTATTTGCATAAAGTGAATAATATTGGACAATTGAAATATTAGTTTAATTCATTTAAAATTCTGAAAAGGTTATAAAGTGTAAATATTATTAGACTTGTGTATTCAAAAATACTTCACAATGATATTCTGAGCTCAGTTTGTTTTTAGAAATAAACTTTTTTTATTTGAAAAAATAGTTCATTGTGACATTTCATAAAGAAAGAATTCTGTCTTGTTGTTAACATCCAAAGCCCATGATAAAATAATAAAGTTTTATCAATCAAAAAAAGTAGTAAAATCTACCAATTAAATTTAGGAACCTGTTATACTAGACTGTATTGTGGTATGACAGCAGCCACAATAATTATATGATGCTTCCCAGGTGGCGCTAGTGGTTAAAGAACCCGCCTGCCAATGCACGAGACATAAGAGATATGGGTTAGATCCCTGGGTTGGGAAGATCCCCTGGAGGAGGGCATGGCAACCCACTCCAGTACCCTTGCCTGGAGAATCCCCATGGACAGAGGAGTCTGGAGGGCTACAGTCCATCGGGTCGCAAAGAGTCAGACACAAACTGAAGCAACTTAGCACTCCATACACAATAATTATATATTCTTTTATGTTGTTGGAAGAGAATTCTAAAAGAAAAATATAAGTTGAATATTAGAGGAAACCTGAGTAATATGCATCTGTAAAGTATTTAGGTTTTCTCCATTCAATTTACAACAACATAGAGGATGTTTAGTTATTGTGGTTGTTATCATAGTTATAGTCTAGTATTACGGGTTCCAAATCAACTGCATACTCTCCCCTGAACCTGCCACATCCCCCTACCCACAACTGAAAAAGAATCTCTAGTTGTACCCTCGTGTCTCCCAGCTCAATGAATGGCAGCCCTCCATGGGGTTACAACATGCTTCACACATATGTATGTCGCTTACTTCATCACGAGCTCTGTCTGTATATCTCCTAAGTATCTCCTTCATCCATCTGCTGCTCCCAGCTCTATTCAAACCATGGCCAGCCACTTTGATCTGCCAGATGACAGATGGGGCCAATGTTTCCTGGCTTCTCTCCTCACACCCTCCACACACATGCACATGTGCACACCATACAAACATGTACTTTAAACACTCGTATACTTTGCTGTTGGTTTTAGGTTAGAGCTAAAAATCTTTAATATGGTTCCTACCTGCTTTTCCAACCTCAGCTTGGAGATGCTGTATTCCTTGCTTCCCTCAGAGTCTTTGCACCATCTGGACCAGTCATTCTGGGATTCCCCCACCTCCTAAGATCTCAGTCTAGGTATTTAAGTCTTTATACATTATATAAAGCACCATTTATCTCTCTCACACTTATTGAGGGTGTAACTTCACATTACATTTGTGGTTCTTCGGCTGTGCTCCAAGAAGGCAAGAATCTTTTGCCGTCTGTATTGGTTTTTCTTACCGTGGTATTTGTAGCACATGGGATGGGGTATGGCTCATAGCTGGCCCTGAGTAAATATTTGTTGAAAGAATGACTAACATCCATATGATATATAGTGAAACAGAGAAGAAGAACATACCTGTTTGGCAGGGGCATCTGTAAGGAGTTGGAGAAGAGGGAGTGTTTGAGCTGAGACTTGGAGGATGGAAAGATTTTCCTGGGCATAGAGACAGTGGATGGGTGTTTCAGGCAGATGAGAGCATTTGCAAATGCACCCAGCTTGGGAGCCTGTGTTGCATCTAGGGAACTATTAAGTAATGCCAATTTTTAGAGTAAAAACTGGGAGTGGGGGAGTGAAAGGAGGTGAATGGTGATGCAGAAAAGTGATCAGTGATTTTTGCAAAGGCATTTAGATGTAACCTCACTGTGTTTCAAATTCTGAGGTGCTGCCCTCTAGTAGGCACTGAAATTAATTGGTGAGTCAAGACTAACATTTTTTAAATGAAATATACCTGATAAGGAAATATCAGATAACATTATGTACAGCAAGGCTTGATGAGACTTAGTGAAACTTTTGTTTCTGATGTGTTTGTGTGTATATTTATGTATATATGTATGAGTGTAGTGGGTTACAGTGTAAAATGTATTTCTTAAAGGAAGAATGTTTGAATTTTGCTGCTGTAGGTGTTGGGAAGCCAATGAATAGTCTCAGCCAGGGAAGTGTCATGATCAGTCTTAGTGTTAGTTAACTCTGAATATGGGCCTGGAGACTGGTGGGAAGGAACGGGAAGTGGTCGAGGCCGTTGCAGTAGCCACATGAGAAGAAGTGGCTGCTGAGTCAGGAGACGAAACTGCCAGGATTTCTTGAGTAGGTGTGTTGGCGGGGAAGATGAGGATGACTCCTAGAGTGGCTGGTGTGGCCACAGGGTATATGGAGATGTCAGTCAAACAAGAATAACTATTTATTTTTCATTTTTTTCTATCGGAGGGTAATTGCTTCACGGTGTTGTATTGGCTTCTGCTGTACAGTATGAATCAGCCATGTGGGCGGTGCTGTGCTTGGTCATTCAGTCATGTCCGACTCTCTGCAACCCCATGGACTACAGCCCACCAGGCTCCTCTGTCCACGGGGATTCTCCAGGCAAGAATACTGGAGTGTGTTGCCATGTCCTCCTCCAGGGGACCTTCCCAACCCAGGGATCGAACCCACGGTTCCCGCATTGCACGAAGATTCTTTACCATCTGAGCCCCCAGGGAGGCCCAGGAATACTGGAGTGGGCAGCCTGTCCCTTCTCCAGCGGATCTTCCTGACCCAGCAATAGAACTGGGGCCTCCTGCACTGCAGGCGGATTCTTTACCAGCTGATCCACCAGGGAAAGCCAAATCAGTCATAAATACACGTATGTCCCCTGCTTCTTGAGCCTCCCTCCCACTCCTGATCCCACCCCTGCAGGGCATCACAGAGCACCAAGCTGAGCTCCATGTGCTATCTATGCAGCAGCTTCCTGCTAGTTACCTGTTTTACACATGGTAGCATGCATATGTCAGTGCTACTCTCTTGATTCATCCCCCCTCTCCTTCCCCTGCTGTGTCCACAAGTACATCCTCTATGTCTGTGTCTCTATTCCTGCCCCACAGAAAGGTTCATCAGTACCATAACTCTTTATTTAAGTGTACTTTTTTCTAATTTACCTCTTGTCATTTGTTATAAGCATTTTCTCAGTTGAGGAGAAAATCTTCTTGGATGGTGTGTTTTGAGGCAAATCTGAAAGTGGAGTTTCCTTTCACGGGAGCCTGTCCTCAGCGGGAGTGAGCTGCATGGGATCATCAGCCGCGCCCCGCTCCCCAGCCTGGACGGGGAGCTGCTCTGTCACTCTGCTGTCTTCTGGCAGGTGCTGGTCCTAGGGAAACACGTGAAGACTGTCTCAGTTTGATTCCTCAGTGGGGAACTCTCTTTCCTGCTTCTCCTTACCCTGTGGCCCTGGATCACACTCCCAAACTACTTGCTCTGCCTTTCTTTCAGCCAGGAAGAATATTCAAACGTTGAAGTTTTATCTCCAGGTGACAGAATTATAGTGTGCCCTTTACCTTCTTTTTTTGTGCTTTTCTTCATTTTCTAAATTTTCTATAATTTATAATGAGTATTCTATTTAATTTATTTAAATACAATATTTTCAACTGATAGTAAAGTTTTCTATTACTTTCTGTAATATGTTTTACTTAACATGTTTTTTTTCTGATTATAAATGTATGTGTGTGTTAAACAATTAGAAGGAATTCATCAGTGTATTAAGCAGAATAGGAAGATATCTAGTAATCCCACTTCCCAGAGAAAATTACTGTTAGTATTTTGGAGAGCATTTTTCTATGCACATCCTGACCCACATAATCATATACAAGCCTTATTTGTAGGAGGTAACTACCATTCTTCTGTCGTTCTGTAGCTCATACGTTTCTCCATTTATCGAATGGCATGGGCAGCCTTTCATGTCAGTTACACACATGTCATAAATCAGAGATCCATAACTATGTGGGAGCCAGAGAAGCAAATTAAATGAGCAAAGTGAATTGGTGTAGTGTAGAGGCTCATGGTAAGCTGGTGAATACATATCCTCCTCCTAAATAGGTGGCCAGTACTTGGCGCTAGTTGGGTTTGTTGTTGTCATTTTCTCACATTCTCATGCCCAAATGTGAGTCTGCCATTGTTGGATTTTTTATTTTCCAAGAGAAGCTAGAAATCTGTACTTGTTTATGTGACTTTTTTCAACTTTCCGTATACCGTGAGGCCCATCTGCTGGCTGGGTTGTAACCAGTGATGCCTTGTGTGTGTTAGTCACTCAGTCGTGTCCAACTCTTTGCGACCCCGTGGGGTGTAGCTCACCAGCCTCTTCCATCCATGGGATTTTCCAGGCAAGAATACTGGAGTGGGTTGCCATTTCCTACTCCAGGGGATCTTCCTGACCCAGGGATTGAACCCGAGTCTCGTGCATTGCAGGCAAACTCTTTACTGTCTGATCTACCAAGGAAGCCCCAACCAATGATGCACCAACTTACTACTTAATGTGGTGTACCTGATTCTGTTTATGGTAGCCTTTTTTGGGGGGCGTTGTTTTTCCATGAATAGCATCTTATCCTTTGTTTTTTCCCATTTACTCATCATTTAAGTTGATGTGTCTTTTTAAGCAATACTGGCAGACACTCAGTCTCAGATTTGAAACTGATTATAGATTGGTCTGCAAGATACATCATCTGATATAGTCCTGTTAAATTCCTCACTCAGGACCTGATAGCCAGAGGCCATGTACTCTTCTTTCTCAAATGTATAGGAGAGGGTTCAAAGAAGAGGGTAAGAGTGGCACAGGTTACATGCTGGCAAGTGGTGTTTTCCTCTGCAAGTGAGGCAGTGCATACCGCTGGCCGGCGTCTGGGACTTGATGGAGGGGCAGCAGATGCTCTGTCCTTGGGCCCAAGAGGCGTTTTATCCAGTGCACACGGGAGCAGGCTGCAAGAAAGGTTTGGTTCTTATTCTGACCCATTAGAATAAAGGATTGTGTTATATTAATACCTGATAGGTTGTGGAGCCAACTCCTCTCTTGTTCCTCATTGGGCTGGCTCTGATGGCTTCTTTCTTTCTCAGATTATTTCATGACTATTTGAAAACAGATGAACCAGGAAGAGGCATCACCCAGTCCATTACTCCTGTCTCTACTTCTCTGAGCATCCGTTTTCTCTCTGGCCTGTGACTGCTGGTATAGAGTTGTTGAGAGGATTACATTTTAAGTAAGATGACTGTGTGAAAGAGACTAGCACAAAGCTCAGTAATATTGGTTTTATTTTTTCAGTGTTTCAAAATGTAAAACTCTTATTCATGTCTCATTCAAATGAGCTTTAAAAATGTAGACCCTTTTGGTCGGGGACTGTGTATTGATTGACACGAGTGATGGTAGCATAACATAGAGCTGTCACTTGCAGCATTAACGTGCTTTAAGCAGAAACTGATTTGTTTTGTTTTGTTTATAGTTTTTGACGTGTTTCTGTTTTGGTCTGACTAGGAGGAGCCTGATCTGGTTAGTGCAATTTATGGCCGAGGGATAGCCTATGGAAAGAAGGGACTTCATGTGAGTATGGAATAGTCACGCTTGCCACAGTGTCTACATGACTGGACTCAGACCAGGGTTTCCATGGAGCCCCTCCCTGCTCTCTGAGCTCTGATGGGACAGCGGTGGTGGTATCCCAGTTCACAGCTGAGACAGTGGCCATAGGGGGCTTCCTCAAGGTCAACTGGCTGGAAAGTAGAGGGCTGGGAATTTCTGCCCAGGTCTTCTGAGGTCAGTTTCACCTAACTTTCTATTCTAAAAGGACAGCCTTTGCCAGCCTAAACTTTAGTTCATGATGAACTGAACATAAGCCAAGAAAAGCATGAGACCTTGACAGAATCCCTGAGAAATACTCATTGGTATAAGAGAGAGACTGGGTATCAACAGTTTACAGTACTTAGAATCTTTCAATTTTTAAAGGTCAAATAGAATAACAGAAGTTTTTTTTTTTGTAAAATATTATAAAAAATAAATTATTTTAAATTTGTTATATATTATTCTTTCTTAGATATATCTTTGGAGCCTTATTCCACTTATTTCTCTGAGGAGTGCAGGAAGAAGATTATAATAAGTATATTTTTGGGTCAAACAAAGGCCCTTTGGTGTAAAAATGAAGACTTTCCTGAGGTTATATAGTAAATAATGAAGTGGTCTAGGTCAGATGTCCAAATTTTCAGTCTTGAACATTATACATGAACCTTTTTCTTTTATATTAAAAATATTCAAATGAAATTATGCTTTGAGGGAGAAATGTCACTTTGTATTTTTGAAAATTAAAAAGCAATTGTCCTAGTTGCTTGATGGCCTATTGTAGAAATATTGTATAATGTATACTTCTGAGACATGAGAAAGCAGACTGCACAGGAACACAGATTTGGAAATGACGAAGATGTTTAGGAAGGGAGCGTCAGTAAATAGCCCTACTTAGGTTCAGGGCATCAGTAAATGATCAAGTTACCCTAGAAAAGGTCAGAGATAAACTGCTTCTTCCTCATTCTCATCTCTTTTCATTTTATATCTTGATGTGAAATTTGCTTGTATCTTTAATGTACTTTTAATGTAAAAGTAACATCCTCATGTATTTTTGATATGAAAGTAATATGTAAACTTTAAAGAGAACAGGCTTACCTAGGCTTCTCTAGAAGTAGGTATATAGGCCTAGAGGGGTTTTGACTGACACTAACTTGGCTCTCTGTTCCCACATTGCCACTAGTTAGCATCATTTTGCACACTGGTGTCCACATGCCCATCCCTTAAAATGGGCTGATGTACTGTTTAAATAGGTTAAATTGAGAAAACATCTTGCCATCTGTGGAATTTGTGCTAGGTAGCCAAGTCCAATGTGGGTAGGTAGACTTGAGCAAGTTAAATAATTACAGCTTATTTAACTTGACAGATCTCTTACATAGAAGCTAAGTTCCTGTTTATTTCTAAATAAATAGTTATGTCATTACTAAATTATTAGTTTTTTCAGAAAGTCTGTTCAAGCTGGTTTTGAGTAACAGTGTATCTCATACTGAGCTAATGCCTTTTCAAGGACATTAAGAATGCTGAGCTTGCTCTGTTCGAACTGAGCCGAGTAATTACCTTGGAACCAGATCGTCCAGAGGTATTTGAGCAGCGAGCAGAAGTGAGTGTGGTTTTCTTTTTCCCTCTGTTGTTATTAGATTTTAAAAACTCTCAGATTTTTTTTTTCCTTTTATTTTATTGCTGATAAATTTTAAGCCTCCCGTATACTTACTGTGTTTTCCTCCATAGGTACATAATGCCTTTAAACAGTTGAAATTACTAGAAAACTATGGGCCGAGTGATACTCTTTCCTGATTTACCATGTTAAATCTTTGCTGATTTAACATGTAATAGTAACATTTAGTATTAAAAATACAGTTATGATGTGTACCACCACTGTCCATGTTCACTGAAAAATATGACATACGTGTTTACTGTGTATATGACATACTTTATTTGGCAAAACAGTATGACAGTATGGTCAAACGAGGTCTATAGCCTTGCGAAGCGTGTTTGTGTGTGTGCGCGCTCACTTGTATCTAATTCTTATGGATACACCTATCTACATAGAGATGTAGACTAGGGAAGGGTGACCATAGCCGGAACTTAGGACTCAAGGTGGAGACAGTTCCAGGTAATATGTGTGACAGTGGACACCACAGGAGGGGCTGCTTGTTCAGGAGCAGAAAAACATGGTCTGCTGGATCCCCGGGACAGATTGGCAAGGGGACAGGCATTGGATGTATCTGCAGAGGCCTCACTGAGGAGGTGATGCTGGAGCTGGGTAGGAACCATGTCCTGGGGAACAAAGTGGAGAAGGGTGTTCAGGCCAGAGAAAGGACTGTGTGCCAAGGCACCCCTTTTAATGTTTTTAAATGAAACATGTCCATTTTACCATTTTCATTAAACAATAGTAAACTATCCAAGTTTCATATTGTATTTGTTTTATTGCACATTTAACCATATTAAGAACTTTAGAATTTATGTTAATTTTTTCAATCTGATTTAGGACTTAACTTTTAATTATCTGTTCTGGTGGGATTTCATAGTTGGACTAAAGGGACAAATGACTTTTCCTCCCTCTTTTGAGGGAGAAAGCTTAACAAGCAAAGGGAAGGCTAAATGTTTTAGTATTTTTAAAACTGCTTTTGTGATGCTTTTGTTCTCAAAATTATAGTGTGTTAAATTACAGTTCAGTTTCTTAAAATGAGTTTTTTTGTTTTATTGGGGATTTGGCTTTCTGAAAGAAATTCTTTCTCAAGTAATGAAAGAATTCATTATCTCTTGTCTCTTTTGGATTGCTACCCTAAGGGTTGAATGACTATACTCTGTTCACTGCTGCATGAGAGGCCTGTTGGTTTTTACGGTGAGCGTTGGGCAGCTCACTTGGTGACACTCTGCTCCAGGGAGTGGGTGCTGGGTTTTTCCCTTCTATCACACTGATGCTCTGCTGAAATGTTATGGTAAAGCATGAATTTAATTAAGTGCACTTAGAAGACTGATTTGGCAGCTTTGGAAAATTTTTTACATCTAATAAAAAGCTAATTGTATACCCAGAATGATATTGGTAATCAGAAAAGTGATTTCCAATGATCTTAAAAATATATAGCAATATCCCCCTTTTCTGGCATTATCAGGCAATAATATGATATAGTGATTTTTCCAGCTAAATTACAGTGTACTGTTTATGTCAGAAATTGTTTTCTGAGAAACTTTTCACTTTTATACTTTCTGAAATTGTCTATATTTAGTGAATGTAATTTAACCTTTTTTAGTTACTCTTGTCATTATTATGTGTATTGATTTTTGTGCTGGGGTGCAATAATTCAGTTATGTTAATACTAATATACTAGGTTGGGATTTTTTCCTTCCAAAATATAACCCTAGACCACTATGCTTCTTGAATTCTAAGGGCACATATTCCATTTCTTTCCTCTCTCTGAGCTGTCTCTCTTGCTACTGGTGGTGTGCCTGCCTCAATCTTCTCTCTTGCTGGTTTTTAAGTCCTGCAGAGGAGGAAACCAGTTAGTAAAACTTGATGGAAATGACCTGTTATAAGAACAAATTTAACTGTAATTTAAGAACATTTGTTCTGGATGAATTGCTTGAGCTTGATTGCATGAATACTGATACCCATTTTGGATTATCTTACGTCTTTTGGGTGAACTTTTGCATTCTGAGCTGTCTTCTGTGTTGTCATTGTTGCCTGAACACAGCTGATTGCTGGATCAAAAGAGTGTTCAGAACAGGCCTGCAGATGTTTTTTCACTGCCTTGCAGATCATAACTGATGAGTTGAGAGTTGTTCACATCAGAGGGCTTACACAACACCTGGAATCCCAGAAATTACCATCCAGCACTTAATACCACAGATGGCCTAGCTAGATACCATGGGGGACTCCAATCTGTGTTTATCAATTCCTCTATTTTAATGGAGGAATTTTAATGGTTTAGAGTTAACTTTCAGATTAATTGACATGCCAAATTTTGTTCCGAAAGATAAATGATAGGTTAGGGAAAAATGGTCACACTTCAAGAAAAGCAACATCGATTATGACACAGAACATGAAACGGTGACAAGGCAATTGCCATGGTCACAGTTCTTCAGCATCCCCTTGACTGGACAAGGTCGGCAGCCCCGCAGCTGTTGACTTTGAGTCTCACTGCACAGTACGTGGAGTCAAGGGTTCTAGGCTGCTGAGAGAGTCGCACTGTAAGTGTGGGGTGGTGAAGCAGACTTGAAAAGTCAAAAGCATTGGCAGTTGTAGGGGCAATCACTGAGACTTTTCTCCCCTAATTACGTTTTTGGGTTTATAGATTCTGTCCCCTCTGGGGCGAATTAATGAAGCAGTGAATGATCTCACTAAAGCTATTCAGCTTCAGCCCTCAGCACGGCTGTACAGACATCGTGGGACCCTGTACTTCATATCAGAGGTGAATTACTTTTGCCTTGAAATGTGTCCTTTCATGGTGGTAAAAATTTCAGCTTTCCTTCTACTTCAGAAAGCTACTATTTGGTAGATTGGGGTTTGGGGCTGTAGATTAACAGTTTGTGATATAAGACAATTATGAAAGCATTTTCTGTAGCTGAAATTGAACCCAGTGGAGAAATATTAAGTACCAGAAACACATTTTCTTGCTTGAACTGTCAGCAGTAACTAATTCTGGGCTAGGGGAAAAAAGGAAGAGTGGGAACAGAAGAAGAAAAATTGGATGTACAGATTATACCTTAACTTTTCTCGGGAATGTCAGTGTAGAGAAGCAGGTGTGCATGTTATCAATGTGATCATTAAACTTAGGGGTACAATTTGAATTTCTTTGGGTATCACAGTCCGAGAATCATCACCTGAACTAATGTGGCTTTCCAGACTGTAGCTTCTCAACCTAGCAAGATTACCTTTTATCATGAGTGGTATTTATAATTGCCGTAGCTATTTTTGTTGGTTTACAGTCATTTCAATAACAGTTTTCTATTGCAAAAGAAAATAGATTTTAAAAAACCTCAGTATAACACATTTTAAGGTTGATCTATATCATAATTATTTTAGACTTCAAAATAATGTAACGTTAGTATTAAAATAATTTGTAAAGTATCTATAGCAGGTTATGACTTTAATAGTATTTAAAATAATATTCTTTTGTGGTTGAGACAGTATGCTTAAATTAAACCTTTGTGAGTTTCTCTCATCTATTAAAATCAACTCTTTCAACAGTGTAAGCATGCTTCTAATATTGGTAGTCATGAAATGTTTTCTTTAAAGCCAGAAAGGGCGCAGAATAAATTGGGATTTTTTTTCCTCTATCAATCAAAAGTAGGACATGTCCAATATCTAACGAATACTACTTTTTTTTTTTTTCATTCTCCTTTTTGTAGGACTATGCAACAGCCCACGAAGACTTTCAGCAGTCCTTAGAACTGAACAAAAACCAGCCCATAGCTATGCTATACAAAGGTTTAACTTTCTTTCACAGAGGACTTCTGAAGGTGAAAGTGCTGTGCAATATGTGTACCTACAGTGATGCTAGATCTCCCTCGTGGTGGGAGGAATTGAGCTGGGGTTTAGTTTGGCAGGTTTTAAGATGACATCTCACATGTCCTGTTGGTTTATTTTAGAAAGTAGTTTGAATCAACAAATTTATTGAGCTCCTACTGTCTGATACGTACTTGGAGGAAAGTGTGAAAGGGGAGAGGATGAAAGGTTATAAGGGAGAAATAATGTTTTATACTTAGGACAGACACAGTTTACAAAGCCTTTCTCCACATATAATTTATCATGTGGTGAATAAATCAAAGAAAGTAATGTCAGCAGTATACTTTGGAAGCCATGCTGAGAACCTCTCATTTGAACTCAGGAGTTATGAAGGTCCAGAGAATAAGTGGACATCATCTTGACTTGGAAGGCAGAGCACAGTTGGGGAGAAGGACTCTGAGGCTGAGAGGAAGGTGTGAGTAATGACCTGGGAGACACACCCACACATGTGAGGAACTGGGGCTGGGCCCGCTGCCCCCGGGAAGAGAGTCCTGGAAGGTCAAGAGTGCTCTGCTGAGCATTTTGACTTTAGCTGGTAGGCCTGGAGGAGTTCTGAGGTCTAGATTTGGGGGAAATAGACAGTTGAGATTCAGTTTGTACTAAGGAAATGGTTGCTGACATGGCAGTGGCTGAAGAGGGTGGGGATGGGGGCTGACCAGGAGATGCTGCTGCATTCAGGTCAGGAGTGGCCTGACGGCCTGGGGGGCCTCTGGGGGCTGCCGGAGGGGTCCCAGCACTGTTGCTTGAAGACTGCTGTCGGGAGGAGGGGTCGAGGGACAAAGGAGATGCTCTGTCTCAGCTGAGTGGGGCTGAAAGTCACCACCAGCTGGCCACCCCTCCTCTGGCTGGGACTCTGCCTTCTCCAAGCCCGTTCCAGGAGCCTGTCCTGCAGCAGCTTCCCTCTTGCCAGGGCAAGGGGCAGAAACGCAGCTGAGGGTGGGGCTCTGGCTCTCACCCCAGGCCTGGCCCTTCCAAACTGCCTGATTGAAGACAGGTTGGCCTGAGAGCCACAGACAGTCCGCCCGGCTAGGTGAAGGCACTCATTCTGACCAGGAGGTGGAGAATTCAGAGTAGGTTGCACTTAACCTGAACTTTGGAAGGTGGGAAGAGCACATAGCAGAGAAGAATACATGGATGTTACTGAAAATAGCTCTGAGGATCTGATACACACATAAACACACTCACTTGGAGGGTGGGGAGAAGGTTTACCTTTTAAAAGGCCACAAGTTGTAAATCCTCTATGTTACAGACAGTGCCTGTCACATAGTAGGTGCTCAATAAGTATCAGTGGGGTAAATTTCAAGGGCAGAGCGTTGAACTGGAAGGTCGTGGTCTGAGCTCTTGCTCTGAATCTTATTATCTGCACGGCTGGACATGCTGCTTCAATTCTTTCAGCCTTTCCTTCCACATTTATCAGGTAGAGATGACGCTACTCTCTGTCTCTTGAAGTGGGAGTGAGAATTACATACAATAAAATGTGTGAGAGTCCTTTATAAACTGTAAACATGAACCTGGTATTACAGATTATTTTCCATGTGAGGATTTAATCTAAGTCTTATAGACTCTAAAAAAAAATAACTCCCATCCATTAAAAACCAAACTAGAAGGAATTAATTTTGCAAATCTTATTTCATATACTTCATCCCCATTTTTGCAAGTGTGTAGAGGTGGTCCTAACAAGGACCCTTTCTGTCCCCTCAGGATTCAGACAGGCAGTGCAGGCTTTGAGTTATTTAAAATGTACTTTGAGCAGCTGCCAGATGATTTCTTCCAGTTAATTTTGTCTCTGCCCTGTATTCCTCTCATATTCTCTTCACCTTCAAGTCACCTTCAATTAAAAAATTCAGAATTAGAATACTGTGTTCAGAATCTATCCCTCAAGTATCACATGAAGGAGAAAGAAATTTGAAATAGAAAAAAATGCCAATTATCAGTACTGAGAGGGTAAAAATATTTTTTTAAAGTAAACAAATGTAAACAGTTGATTTCACTTTTAAGCCACATTTAGGAATGTAGGCAAGAAGGGCCCTTTGTGTTATTTCAAAAAGAATTTTTTTCAGAAAAGAGTGGTAATAGAGACACTGAATAGAAACTGAACATGGACTAAAATTCAGTTTGGTTTATTTCACATCTACCTGATGAAAACCTAGAAGCAATGCTTTCGGTCTCTGAGTGTTAGAAGCCCCTCGGTGATCCAGTCTCACCAAGTGATTTGGGCTCTCCTCCTTTTCACCACACTCACCAACACAGCAGTGATGTGTGTAATAGATGGGAACTTTCTTTTTGCATTTTGTAGATCTGCTGTCCGAGGAAGTCAGAGTGTTTACGTATTGTCTCATTCATCCCAACGGCATCCCCATGATGTATAGAAGGAGCAGAGGGTGTCCCTGTTACAGAGATTGGAAAAATGAGTGGTGAAATGCCTTAATTAAATTAATGAACCTAGTTTAGATATCTGTCTTTTTCTTGTTAAATGTAGAAACAAAGTATTGAATGGACCAACGAGTCTGAGCTATTTTTGTATCCTAAGGGTGGTCTCTCCAGGTCAGTAGTCCTGAAATTAAGTGGACAGTTGCTTATTTAATTTATGATTATAATACATTAGAAATATATTAGGGTATATTACATGACAAATTTCACGGTTGTCCAATTCAGTAGATATATCAGATATTTTTTATATTCCTAGGTAATAAAAACAGCAGAAACTTTTCTGTTGAATTTTACTCATTTGGTAAGGATGTTTCAAAAATGGTGTATTCTGAACACACATTTTTATAAGCCTTTACTTTGAGGGTTACCTGTTATGGTTCTGTTCAGTTATGCTGAACGGTCCCAGCTAGTAAGGAAGATGGCGACGTAAATGGTGATGATTGCATTTGCTATGCAGACGACTTTAGAGCCAGTTCACGTGCTTAGAGATAGGTTCAACAAACGTAGTTTCTTTGTTCCCAATGGCTTAAAATCTTGATTCTGCTATGTCCCCTCTTTGGCAGAATGAGGTAGAGAGCTGTGCAGTGATTAGACAGGAACCCCGAAACCAAAGACTCTTAAAAGCTGAAGAGAAATCAGACTTTGAAGAACTGTGGCGTCCAAGCATGCTGTAAGTGCAGTGGGCAGCAGATGTCCCCTGGGCATCTCCAGTAGACGTCCACAAATGCTCCAGACTTCACACATCCCAGTGGAGTCACACCCTCCCCCGCCCCATGGCTGTCCGTCTTCCGAGACTTCCTCACGCCCGGGCTCCCAGCCTGAGCTCCTCCTGCCCGCTCTGCTCCCTTATCCCCAGATAGCCACCACATTCTGTCTTAGTGTGCCGTTTTAAAAACCTCTCCTGAACCCGACCCTCCTTTTCTCTCCTCAGAGACACTCGCAGTCTGAGCCTTGAGTCTCTCTTGCCTGGACCACTACGGCCGCCTCTTACCTGGGTTCCATCCTCCCACCTCTCCCGTGTGTCTTTTCCGCTTTGGCCGGCAGTTCTCATCTCTCTGAAGAGTTGTGAGGCGGCCCCCTCCTCACCGCCCTCCGCCCTTGTTGCTTCCGGGCAGCACGCAGACTGCGGAGCAGGGCAGAGGCCCTCCCTTCTGGCCTCGTGCACCCCGCGCCCCTGCCCCCCTGACTCTCCCCGCGTCAGCGAGCCCCTGGACCCCTGTGTGGTCCCGCCTCCCCTCTCCAAGATGCCGTCTTTCTTTACCAAACTCCTCTTGCTTTGAGGCCCAGCTCAGCTGTCACCTCCTCCCTGTAGCCTCTTCTGCCCTCCCAGGCTCGGTCAGTTGTTTCTTTCTCTCTTTTCCCCAGAGACTTTTACTCATATCGCTGTTGTCGCTCGTAGTTTGTATTCTAGTAACCTTGTTACATAGTTGGCTTTCTAATGATACTGTGAGTTCTTAGAGGACAGAGAGAATGACCTGCCCATCTTCATGTCCCCTTACCTCCTGCTGTCCCTGGCACATAGCAGGCGCTCAATACATGTTTATTGAATTAAAAGTGCAATTGTTAAAATCCTGAAAGATCAAGACTGTGTCACAGCAGGTAGCCTAATTAAGAGTGGTCTTTAACATTTCTTCAATGTTAAAAAATTATCCATTTTCATCTGTCTCCCAAACAGAGCTATGCAGTGAGATTCCTTAATGAGGAGGTTTTGTCCCCAGTATTGCCTTTGAGGAATTTCAAAGCCAGCCTCTCTTGCCCTGCTGGCCTCCCCTGAGAAAATCAAGAAGCAGGGGATGAATGACTTTCTGAAAAGACTCAATATTGTATAACTTTTGCAAAACTATTTTGTGTGCCTACCAGGGCGTTAAATATTTATTGAGTGCCTACCATGTGCAAGGCATTTGATATCTCTCATGATTTTCTGCTATGAATTATCTAATTGGGTTGAAATGATCGATCCCAGAGGTTTTAAAGTTTTTTCTCAATTAAAGCTCTTAGAAGTTGTGATATTTTACAGCCATTAAGTAAAATATGTCTTTTCCTTGGGAAATGTGTGAAATATCTGTGTAATTTTTTATTACAATAAATAGCATAATAATGAAAAGACATTGAACACCCAGTGTAAGCCTGGGATGTTTATTCTGAAACAGTGGCATGTTTTATCACCGGTTTCCACAGAGAGTCCCTTTTCAGCCAGGGCTTCCCACAAGAGCATAGTATGTGCAGTTCTGGAACTTCAGTGCCTCCTGGAGCTGTGCTGGGAGGAGCCATGCCCCCCCACCCCCAACTGAAGGTTTCTCTTTTATTTTTATGCTTTCTTTTCCCTTGTAGATCATGGGAATCCTTCAGTAGCTATCCTAGGAGCTTGTTTTCTTGTTTTATCAATAATTTCGTGTTAGGCTTGTGTTTTTGTCTCTCTTGTTGGTTTAATTTCAAATGCTGTCAGTTGTGATCATTTTAGATGATTTCATGTAGCTGTTAGTCTTACTTTTGTTCCATAGAGTCTTTATTAAGTAAATGATTATTAAAATGAAGGTGTTATTGGTAGTCAAAGTTCTAATGAGAAACAGAAGCTGTTTTCCCATTTTGAAAGGAGAAACTTAAGGCTCTGTTGTTGTTCATAGTAATGTATTTGATTACTATTGAAATTAAATCCTCCTGACTCATAGTTTATTGTAGTTTCTACCTCTCTTTAAGTCCTCCTATTTTGAAAAATTCATTCAGAGACCATGTATTTTATATATACTGTATTAGTCCTTCAGTAATTTGAGAGAAACTCAAATTAACAGTTAAGCAAATGAAATAATTTTCTGTGTTCTTTTTATAGGAAGCTATTGAATCCTTCAAAGAAGCTCTGAAGCAGAAAGTTGATTTTATTGATGCGTATAAAAGCCTGGGACAGGCCTACAGGTGACTAAAACACTAATAGTCGGGGTAGGAGGGAGGGTGTATAGTGGGATAGCCTCTCGTAATAGGGATCTGGTTTTTAAAAATGCGTTTCTTAGCCGAAAGAGATGGTCGTTCTAAATCACATAGGAGTTCACATACTTGTTGAGATCTTCTCTGGGCATAGAAAAAAACATGGGTAAGAGGATACCATAATGCATGTTACTGTGCCCTAAAATAGCCTTGGTCTGTATATATTGGCCGAGAAAACATCAGTCCTTCAAACGTAGGTGCTTTGAATAGTGGCATTCTAAGGTGTTGAGTTACAGATGATAACTTCTTTTTTAAGGCAGTAACTAAGGTTAATACCCACATCACTAGGATCTGTTTTTTTTTTTTTTTTATTAGTTGGAGGCTAATTACTTTACAATATTGTAGTGAGTTAAAGATCCTAGAATTGCGGGATGGAAACGTTACAAGTATGTTGCATCTCTATCAGGAACAAGCAGCAGTGCTTGGCTTCCTTACTACCATCAAAGCTATTCTGACTCTTGGTTTAAAAATTTTTTTTAGCATTGTGACCTGTATAAAGGTACTATAAATGTTAGGAAAGAGAAAGATAGTGACAGAAATCTCCTGTGAAACTGTTAGGTGCCTTATTCAAAAAGGATTTAATTCAAGAGCTTATTTATCTGACTCCATGGTTAAAAAAAGTCTCTTATACTGACTTGGAGAAAGTGTGTTTCAATTCATTCTAGGTTTAAGGGATGGTATTTATCTGTCCTGTCCCATGGAATTGTTGGGAATATAAGTTGAAAACAGATCTGGAAACACCTAGCAAATAGTAAAGTGCTGTATAAATGTAAGGGGGTGTTATATATATATATATTTTATGTATTTATTGTTTATATAAAATGACATGGGATATTTTAAAGCTTCTATTATTTATAAAATTTCTAATATACAAAATAAGGCAAGGCTGGTCAGTAATAACCATTTTCACTCTGAAATGACCACAATTCTAAAATATACTTCTTATTTCTAAATTTAAATTAGATAATGATTTATTCAATTTTAACTGAAGTAACTTAAACAACAGAAAAAATAAATTTTAAACCTAAGAATTTGGTAAAATAAAAAAGCAAACACCCACATTAAAGTATCTTATTTATAGATTGGATCATAATTCTGAGGGTAACTTAATTCTGTATGTTGACTAAAATGCCTGTATTATGTTCATCACTGTTAAATACCTAGGGAACTGGGCAATTTTGAAGCAGCCACCGAGAGCTTTCAGAAGGCTCTGTTGCTCAACCAAAATCACGTGCAGACCCTCCAGCTCCGCGGAATGATGCTTTATCACCACGGCAGCTTACATGAAGCCCTTAAGAACTTCAAGGTGAGCATCCATAAGAGAGAAGCACTGGAACTGCAATTTTGTATTATTCTTCGACAAAGGTTCATGAAATGAATGGAGTCGTTGGGGGCAGGCAAGAATAGTGCCTAGACTTCAACAAAAAGAAAGAGGAAAGAACCATTGCCTTGACCAACAGACTGATTTACAGAGTATGTATTTGGTCTGATTTAACCTGGAGGGAAAACTTTCCTAATTCCAGTTTATAATTCCAGATTAAAGAGTAAAGCACTTTAAAGGTTCCTAAACTGTCTGGATTCTAATACAGCCTTTTTTCCTTCAATGCCTCAGCGATGTCTGCAGCTGGAGCCATATAACGAGGTGTGCCAGTACATGAAAGGACTCAGCCACGTGGCAATGGGACAGTTTTATGAAGGGATAAAAGCGCAAACTAAGGTTATGCTAAATGACCCTCTCCCAGGCCAGAAGGCCAGCCCAGAGTACCTTAAAGTGAAGTATCTCCGAGGTAGGTCCGACAGCTGCAGTCGACTCTGTGAGTGCTCAGAGCCGCAGGAGCTATACTGCTCATCTCTGGTCTTACCTGTTAGGCAGTGGAGTCTCAGGGAAGCTGGGTGACTTGCCCCCAGCCACCCTCTGGTTAGTGGTGGTATCTGGACTAGAGAGAGCCCATATCTCTTAAAGGCCAGTCTTGGTTTGTTTGTTTGTTTGTTTGCCTCTTTCTCACATTTTTTCTTTCTAAAATTAAAAAATTTTACTTATGCCAAAACAATGTATTTTGAACTGAATATGACAGTCATCTGGGTATCCTTGTCTTGTCACATCTCATCCAAAAATATAGGAATGACAAGAAAGTAATATTAAGTTTTCACTGTTAAATAAGAACTTAGTATCTTTAATCTGTCATTCCTTCATATCAGAATGCTCACATATTTTGGAGAATTTAAATTGAGATGAAAAAGAAAGCAACTCTTTGAGTTATTCTTTTATTAGTCAGTCTTACCCTTTTTCTGCTATACATAGACATTTTTATTTCTCATATAAAGCTCAGATATTTACTTTTACTTCTTCTCTTTCCTTTTTCATTAGCCCTCTATTATAGTACTGTCCAAGTGAAAAAATTGCAAGCCATGTATATAATTTTAAATTTCTAGTAGCCATGTTAAAAAGTAAAAACAAACAGGTGGAATTCATTTTAATAATATACTGTCTTATTTAACTCAGTACCTCTACAATATCAGTTCAGCATATTATTATTATTATTATGAAAATGCTATTTATTGGCTGTTTTACATTTCTTTGTACTAGTCTTTGAATACAGTATATATTATAGTTCATCTCAATTTGAATGCTAAATTTTCATTGGAAATACTTGGTCTGAATTTAGATTTAATAAAATTTAAAATTAGAAAAGTAGACTGATATATGCAAGTTATTCCAAACATACTGCAGTTTTCTAATAATTGAATAAAACATCAGTTTTAAGTTTAAATTTCTAATTAAGGAAAATTTAAAGTTCAGTTTCTCAGCCACATCTCAAGTTCTCAATAGCCAGCTGCTAGGGGCTACCTTTTGGACAGCACAGCTCTTTACTCTTAAGTTGTAATTCCCTCTTTTTTCCTGGTTTAGGAGAACTTGGACCTGTGAGCTTTATAGACTGAAGATGGGGGTGCTCCATATCCTGGTTCTTTCTACACTGCTTCCCTAGAGATAAGCAGCAGTTGGTCAGTCAGTTGATGAAATTGCATACATAGTCAGTACATCTATCAGTTGACAAGGAACCAGGCTTTGTCTAACACTGAACTTGCATTCCCAGACTCTGGAATTGAATAGTGAGATCTTTCGTATTGCTTATGGAAAAATGGTTAAAATTTAGGCAAAGTGGACCCAGATGGACTGGTTTGTATTTGCCCCTGGTAATAACTTAAGTCAGCGGCAGGCTACCTCCATTATCATATAATAGTGACTTCCTAAAATTTGGAGATTCCACTTAGAATTCTTGCAATTAAATAACAGTTTGTTATGAAGTATTTGTACTTTGTACAGATTGGCTATAAAAAATTATAGTTAGCTGTAAAAACTTGTCAGCATATTTGGGTGTGTCAGATCTCATTTCCTATCTGCAGAGTATTCTCGATATCTTCATGCACATCTTGATACTCCCCTAACGGAATATAACATTGACGTGGATCTGCCTGGAAGCTTTAAAGACCACTGGGCTAAGAATCTGCCTTTCCTCATAGAAGACTATGAAGAGCAGCCAGGGCTGCAACCCCACATAAAGTGAGTTATTTAAATGAAGACTTTTTTTTCTTTTTTAACACCAAACTGTTAAGTTCATCATAACATCTCTTGCCCGATAATAGCTTTCTATCCATGTTTCTGATGAATTTATTTTTGAATTTGATATGTCTGGAAATATTTCTTTCAGTTTACCTTTGGATATATGATTTCCTTTTTAAAAAATTTAAATTTTTTTTTTTTTTATCAAAGGTTTTGGTGAAATTTATTTTTTGAATGAAATGTATATTTGTTTTTACTAGAACTTTTTTTTTTTTTTTTTTTTTAATTTATTTTTACATGTATTCCCCATCCCGGTCCCCCCTCCCACCTCCCTCTCCACCCAATCCCTCTGGATTGTAAGATAATTGCTTTATAATGTTGTATTGATTTCTGCTATACAACAATGTGAATCAGCTGATATATACATACATTTTCTCCCTTTTCAGCCTCCCTCCCACCCTCTCTCCCACCCTTCTAGGTCATCACAGAGCACCAAGATGAGTTCCCTGTGCTATAATAGCAACTTCCCACTAGCTATCTGTTTTACACATTATATTGTATATATATTAGTGCTACTCTCAGTTCATCCCACCCTCTTCTCCCCACCCCACTGTGTCCATAAGTCCTTTATCTACGTCTGTGTCTCTGTTCCTGCCCTGCAAATAAGATTTCTTTTAGCCCAACATTCCATGGTAATTTAGGGTACTTTCAGACTTCAGATGCACTTATAATTCTTGGTAGCTTTTGATATGCATTATTTTTTTTACCATATTACTTTAAAACAAATTTCTTAACATATTAAAAGTTTGAAATTAGAGTGCTGGCCAATACTGCTGCAGTATGGCAGAACAGATCTGCTAAAAGGCTGTCTCATTTTAGAACAATTAGATTTAGAATAGAAATTAATTCCTGGGAGTCTAGCTGCCTTAAAAATTAGGAAAAATCTATAAAGATCAGCCCCCTCATTGCTTAAAAAAAAAGAGAAGATATCCAGACCAGAGTGATGGGTGGTAAACACATATTAAAGGAAAAAGATATCCAGTGGAGTGCCTTGAAGCATAAGCAGGATGGGTTTGCTGAACTTCCAGGTGCTAAAGTGATCCAGTATTGGAGGCATTCCCAGGATCTCAGTAGAAGGAGATACAAATCCTTCCTGGGGAGAAATTGGTGCCAATTTGTGCCCTCAAGTATTCCCACAGCTTATGATCATTAGTGTGAGAATCAAAACCAAGATGACCAAAGCCATTTGTGAGAATCAACAGAAGCAACAAACAATAGACGTTAACCCTTACGGATTTCACATATTGAAATTGTTAAATACAGACTCTATAATAACTCCAGATGAAGTGCTTAAAGAAATTATGAAGAATCATAAACATGAGCAAGAAACGTGAGGTTATAAAAGACCAGATTAAAAAAATAGTTAGATGCTCTCAGAATAGAAAATACAGTTATTGAAATGTAGAATTCAGTATACAGACTAAAAAGCAGATTAGCTATAGCTGAGAAGAAATTGCAGGATTGGAAGATAGAGCCTTAGGAAGTATCCAGAGTGGGGCACAGAGAGTCCAGGAGTTAGAAAACTTGAAAGAGAGAAGGTGTGTAAAATGTAAGAAGGGCTAGCATGTATCTAATTGAAACTTCAGAAGGAGAAAATAGAGGAGAGGCAATGTTTGAAGAAATAATAGCCAAGAATTTTTCAGGACAAAGGAAACTTATTAGTAAGTCTTTAGTTTTTTTAAAATATGGAGTAAGTACAAACAAATCCATTCAGATACACCATAGGTAACTGGAGAACACCTAGGGTAAAGAGAAAAACCTTAAAAATAGGAAAGTCGTATCACCTAGGGTCAATTATTAGACTGACTGTAAACCTTTCAACACCAATAGTTTTTACAAATTAAAAAGTAAAAGTCAAACAATCCATTCCAGTTAAAAAAAAATGCAAAAGACATGAGCAGGTAGGAGCGAGTCAAGATGGTGGAATAGAAGGACATGCAGTTTGTCCCTCCTGACAAGTGCATCGAGAATACATCTACAAATGGAACAGTTCTCACAGAGCACCTGCTGAACATTAGTGAAAGACTTTGGACACCTAAAAGAACAGGAAAAATGCCCTTACAACCAAGTAGGATGAAAGAACAAAGGAAAAAAAAAAGAGGAATCAAAAAGGGGACTGGCAACCCTGGTGGGAAGCTGAAGGTGAGAGGAAGTCCCCACACTCAGACAAATTCCCTCATGGTGGGGAAATCAGCTGGGAAGAGAGAGACCTCTAGGGGATCAGAGGAGAAGACAACGGGTGGTCTGTCAAAGAGAGGACAAAGTGAGGACTGCGTGCACGGCCTGTGCTGCAGCCCTGCACATCCCAGCCTGGGTTGTGAGTCACGCATGCTGTAGAGTAGGGTTTGGAATGCAGACCCAGGGAGGGGACAGCTGTTGTCTTTGAAAAGACAGCCTGTAGGGAAAGGAGTCATGGGCTCCAAAACTGGGAAAGTCTGTGGAAAATGTCCAAGACACCACAGAAGTAAGGCTTCGTTGTTGAGTGGCGCGCAAGGGGCGGGGCTGCCAGTACAACCCCCTTTTGTACCTGCTGGCTTGTGCTTCTGCAGGTGCTGGAAGGGGCAGCCATCTGAGCAGGCTTGCCCACCCCTTAAGCCAAGGCCTCCTTTGCCCAGGTAGGCTCTGGGGTCTGAAGCAGTACCCTTGTCAGAGCCTCCTTGGGTGCTGCTGTCTGAGACAAGAATCCACCAATTCTGGCAGAGGCTGAGTGCCAAAGCTTGGAGTCAAAACGAGAGCAGATCTGGGGAAAGGAATACTGTTGGCTGAGCGGGTACAACAGGGGACAGAAGTGAGGCGCTCCATCGCTGGGAATGGCCCTAGCGGAGGCATGGCCTGCCTAGGAAACACAGCATCATTGTTGAGAGGCATGGAAGAAGTGGGCCTGCTGCCTCCCCCCCATGCCAGCCCCTGCCTCCACCAGCAGTGGGAGAGACTCCCACCAGAGTGACTGCACCCAAGTCTGTGGCAACTGCCTTCTGGTCCCTACCACTGCAGGCAACTCATGCAGACCCTAGTTGTGGATGCTGTGCTCCTCACCAGCCTGACGGAGCGTGTCCCAGTCAGCCAGTTTTCCTTCCTTCTCACCTAGGCGGGAAACAGGTGCGAGAGGGTGGCGCAGGTTCAGAGCTGGGGCCACAACCAAAACTGAGCCCCAGGGGCGGGGCAACTAAGGCAAAGGAGCAGAAATCTCTCTGTGCAGACGCCCAAGCCACAGATTAAATTCCTGAGATCAGCATGGTAAATCCTGTGTCTGTGGAGCACCTGAGTAGACAACGACTCTTCCCACAAATGAGGTCAGTCAGCAGTGGACTTTGGGGGTAAGTACAGGTAGGAGTCAGGCCAGGTCAGAGTCTGAGCTAGCCCCACAGTGCCCACAGCAGGTCCAGAGACCTACCTAGAGGTACTGGAGGGCCTCCTGGGTCTGGGGAGGAGACTGGGTCTGGCCCACTGTGAGAGTAAGGATACTGACAGAGGAGGCCTCAGGAAAATATTCTTATTACTATTATTCTCTTTTTGTTTGTTTCATTTTGCTCAGTTGCTGGTGATAGTCTTTTCTTTTTATTTACCAATTTTTCTAATATATACTTTTATTTTCCATTTTTACTTTTTTGATGTTTTGTGTTTTTTTTTCTTTTTGTTCTTTGGTTCTTTGTTTATTCCTTTATTTTTTTCCTCTTTCTTTATGATTGTTTTTATAGGTTTCTTTTATGTTATCTTTACTTTTTTGTTTATTTTCTTTCTATATTTGTTTTCTTTTTCTGTTCTTATTAATTTAGTCCTTATTGGTTGTTCTCATTTTTTAATTCTTTGCTCTCTTTTTTTTTTTCCTTTTATTCTTTTCTGTCTGCCTCTTTGTTTCTGTTTAGTTTTGTTGTTATCATTTGTCTTGGATTTGGCGTGTCTGTTTAATTGTTTTCTTCTATTTTTTCTTCTGTATATGTGTTGTGTTGTCAGTACTGTGTGTTTGGTTTGGTTTTGGCTATTTGTCTTGGGTGTTATTTGTTTTCTTCTTTTTTCTTTCTATTTTCTCTGGCTGCAGTGTGTGGCTTGCAGGCTCTTGGTCCACTGGTCAGGGTTCAAGCTTAGGCCTCCAGAGTGGGAGTGCTGAATCCTGGATGCTGGATCACCAGAGAATTCCTGACCCCAGAGAATAGTAATTGGCATGTACTCTCCAGGAGGTATCCATCTCAATGCCAAGCTGCCTTCAGGCTCCAATGCTGGATATGCCAAACAACTGGAAAGACAGGAACACAGCCCCACCTATCAGCAGACCGGCTGCTTAAGTTGTACTAAGCTCATAGACACCCCAAAACACACCATCTGACATGGCCCTGCCCATCAGGGGGAAAAAAAACTCAGCTCTACCCACCAGAGCACAGGCTTCAGTCCCTCCCACTAGGAGGCGTGCACAAGCCCCTGGACCAGCCTCACTCATCAGAGGGCAGACAGCAGAAGCAAAAGGAACAGCCACCCTGCACAGCAAGTTAGACAAAATAAAATGGCAGGGAAATATGTTGCAGGCAAAGGAGCAAGATAAAATCCCAATAGACCAAATAAATAGGAAGAGGAAATAGACAACTTACCTGGAAAAGAATTCAGTGTAATGATAGTAAAGATGATTCAAGGTCTTGGAAATAGAGTGGAAGCACTAATTGATAAGATACAAGAAATGTTTAACAATGATCTATGAGAAATAAAGAATAGTCAGTGATGAACAACACAATAACTAAAATGAAAAATACAGTAGAAGGAAACAATAGCAGACTACCTGAGGCAAAAGAATGGATAAGTAAGCTGGAAGATAGAGTGGTAGAAATAACTGCCAGGGAGCAGAATAAAGAAAAAAGAATGAAAAGAAATTAAAACAGTCTCAGAGACCTCTGGGACAACTTAAACACACTACCATTTGAGTTATAAAGGTCCCAGAAGAAGAGAAAGGG